CAAACACTGGGTGTAGATAGGACTGTTTACATTTTTCGCATGTTTTTCCACAACAATTCAATTCAATTCAGTTCAATTACATTTTATTTGTATAGCGCCAATTCATGACAAAAGTTACCTAACTTTTCAAATAGAGCAGGTCTAGAACGTCGTACTCCATATAATATTATTTACAGAGACCCAATAGCCGGTAAATTATATGACTTTGTTAGCAAGTGCTGTCCTGTATTGTCAAGAAAACATTCTTTCTCTTCCTTAAAAAGAGTGGGAACCCTGACAGTGTTTGAAAGATACCTCGTTAGTGGGGGCCTACATTTTAGTAAAAGCTGCAAAGATGCATTTTTCTTTAATGAGTGAATTTTTAGTTCAAATCTTGACAGTTGCTATGGCACCACCATTAGGAGCTCTGAAAAAAATTGTGAAGAGGAGAGAAAGAAAGGACAGCAGAAGTAATAGGCTGCTGGCCCTTGGGCCTGGTCACCTAAAGACAGAAAAGTTTATTTATGTGGCTCATTGACCACGTCATGGAGTGTGGCCAATTCTGGAGTCGGGCACAGACAGCGGTCTTGTTATTTTAAACAGACTAGATGTCTGTTATCTCGTTGAAAGGCTGCAAGCAGCCAGCCTTCCCTGTTGGTTTCACAGAGAAATGTTACTAATGGTGACAAGGCATTTTTCAGATGGCCTCTCTGGGGTTTAAATTGTCCTCACTTAGAGTTTCACTCTGCGTCCTAATGTATTTTGGCCCTAGCAGGTAGAGCAGTGCAGGTTTACAAACAGATGCACACACTGAGTTCCTCTGTCTCATGAATCCACCCAGATTAATATGATCAAAAGAAGAAAGATTCACACAGTTTTAAAACCCACCACTTTCTCAAAATAGAGAGTTCTGTCATTCCTTTAAATACTCAGTCCCATATGACGGGATTTCAGTTGTTGCTTGGTATTTAACTAGGACTTTGTGCTGCGTAAGGTAGGCTGAGGAGATAACAGAGGCTTTCCAGTTGTGATACAGATCTTGCAATAATCATAATGAACCAGGACTACTGGAGAACTGGCTTTGCACTGATACAGTACTATAGTTGAAGAAAGAGTGTTGCAATAAGGGTGTAAAAATCACTAACATGATTTCATAAGGAAGCCATGTTTCTAAATGTTGAAAAGGGTAAGCACACTGATTTGTCCTGTAGTATTTTAGAGCAGTGCCTCCCATCCTTTTTGGCCCATCACCTCTTAAAATCAAACACTGTCTACTTGCAGTCACAGTTTATGGCTTTAGTGTAAAGTGTAGTTTGGATCGGTTCCATCAATGTGTGATTATCCCCTCAGATTGTTTAATTTTAATTTGTGTTTTCCGAGGCATGACTTACAATGAACAATTAATGTGTACCTACCCCCGTCAAATTGTCGTAATTTTGCTGTTGCTAACCATGGGCCAAGACGATGATTTCTTCTTTTTTTTCACATTTCGGCCTTTGCATTAGCATCCATTTAGTACCACTATTAGGACAAATTTTCAACTGTTTTGAACTAGATGATTCCATGGCATGTCCTGTACTGCCACCCTGCACTATTCTGGGGTGTAAATAAATATCGATACACAAGTATTGCGATATTATGTATTGTGATACTGTATCAATTCTCACAAACACTGCAAAGATTCCTGACAGTCGTTCATTTTGTGTTACCACTATAGCAGTGTTTTCAGCCTCTTCAACTCCAACATAACGAAGTAAACAGACAAAACACAGACATTATTATAAGAGATGGGCAGAGTGTGTTCTTTATACTATGGCAGGTTTTTTCTAAAACACATGGACAATTGACATGGGGCCATTATGGAACCCGCAGACAATCTCATATAGGGCCCATTTTTTCTAATACCCACATACAGATATTGGCTGGGTAGTGGAGTTGTAGAATGCTGGTTTTGAGTCTTTCAGACTGCTCTGGAAGCCTCTTATGAACTTGAATTGTCCCTCGTATTAAAAAATGTCCTTATCTTGTGTTGTCACACTTGTCCCGCAGTGCTGGTGCTGCTGTTTGTGATGTGGATGAAGCGGAGGGATAAGGAGCGACAGGCCAAGCAGCTCCTCATTGACCCAGAGGACGACGTTCGAGACAACATCCTCAAATATGACGAGGAGGGAGGTGGAGAGGAGGACCAGGTACGCACATGTGCCATCTGCACAGATTACTCAATCTACCTTTATTTTCTTTCTCTATTGTTATTGTGTTGGTATATTGTTTCATATTGGGCGAGCTCAATATAGGTTAGTGTTACATTACCTGTGATTGGTGGTTTTGACTCCTGGTTTACCTTAGTTCCACTGATGTTTGTGGCAGAAATCGCCCTCAAGCTGCACTTAGGTTTATCAGCACTAAATATATGCACATCCTCTTAACAATTCACACTCACCTAATTCTTTCACACCCACACTCCCACCTAGTCTCACACACACACACAGTCTCAGAAATGAACCATAAAAGACACATAATGTTGCCACACAGACACACACTCTGCTTCTCTACAGTTTTCAATCATCTGTCCTCCAGCTAAGATTAAGTGTACTACAAAAGAGGACCTCGAAACAGGATTAATTGCTTTCTGTTGGAGAACAATTTCCTGTGTCCCTCCACACAACTCGTCTGCTGGTGCCAAGCACATAAGCTGCTCTGCAGTTCTGCTGGGAAAAATGTTTAACCCTCATTTACCCAGCCGACTTGACTGAGAGCATGCTTTTCTTTTTACAGCAGTAGCTTGTGCTCACTCACTCAGTGTTTCCGGATTCATGCTGGCAAAAATTTAACAAACAAATCTTTCGTAAAAGTTGTGTGCCGGGTTCATACTGCTTTCAGGATACAGCCACAGCCTTGCACTTCGGACAAAGGTTCGCACCTTCACCTGCCTACTTGGCTTTTATCACAAGTAACTGCCAGCATTCACTGACAAAGTTTAACTAGCTTGCGTGCGGGTGATGAGTGACTGATTCACGTTTTACCCTCAGGGCTTATTGTAGCTGTTCAGTCTTACAAACCCTCGACATTTCCGGTACACGCTAAACCGCCAGCGTGCACCAGAGGCAGACAGTAAATTTGATGGGCCGACAGATTCTATTCACAGAACCAGTTCCTTCAAGTTAACACATGTAAATGTATCAAACCTTTCAAACCTTTCGAGTTTTGATTGTTTAGTGTCAGTTTCTCCATGACGCTCTCATAGTGCTGCCTGCCCCACAAAGCTTCTCTTCAAATGCATTACCAGTCATTTATAAAGACAAAATATAAATGTTTATGCATTGATTCAGCTTTCCACTTGTAAGTTGGTAGGCCTTACACACCATGTTACAGAATTATGATTTTATTGCATCGATTCGTCGTTCCCAGGCGAATACCTGACGTCCCATTCCCTTTTCCAGTGAACGGTTCATTCAGATTTTTCAGTGTGAGTGACATCCCAAAAGATGAATTCATGAATTCTTAATTGGTTAATCCCCTGACTCTTGATCTAGCAGGTCATAGTTTTTACTTATCCAGTGAAAGATCTAAACATTTACTCAAGGGATGGAGACAAACTTTTGTACAAACATTGATGGCACCTAGAAAAAAGACTAGACTTTTTTGTTTAGAGCTACCATAAAGTGAAACCTCTTGTGCAAGGCTTATGTTAGCATTTAGCTCAAAGCACCACTGTGCCTAAATACATCCTCATAGAGTTGCTAGCCTGGCTGGAGACATCTTGTTGACTCAGTTGAAAGATATAATTCTATATAATTATAATCACACTTAATTTTCAAGTCAGATTGGGTTTACTTTTCTGTATGGTCATTGATCTGATACACATAATATATCAGAATGTCACAGTTTAGTGTTATCCCCTCAATGAGACGGTCAGTGCTGGTAGTACTAGTAAGGAAAGACAGAGCACAGCTGTGACAGAGCTTGGTGATAAAGTACAGTGTTGGAAGGATTTGGAGTCAAGGTTTATGACAAGCAAAACTAAATACAGGTAGAACCCTCAAATCTATCTGATTACCTTAACATATTGTAACATCTGTTATTGTTGTTCTGTTCATGGAGGTAACTTCAACAGTGTACTGGATGTTGTTTCTGACTTAATCTACACCCACACCAACACTCCCTTTATGTACCTCCCTTTTTCTACTTTGGCTGTTTTTGTATATTTAGACATTTGAAGACAGCGAGTTCTGGTACCTCCACGATGGTGCCAGACTTTAGCTTCTGTTGTTGGCTTCAACTGAAACAGGGATTATTAAGTACTTACTGAACCTGGAACTTACAAACCAATTGGAACTAAATAGGGCCCCAAAACCCCTGAAAGCCTTTATAGTTTCTTCTAAAACCAAAAAAATGTCGGTGTAAAACATAAATTGGAACATTCATAATAAGATTAATAGTATTATTATTATCCCAAACATGGTAAAATTGGTATTGACATTTTTAACCAAATGACACAAAATTTATTTGCCACTAGATGTCATACTAGAGAACCAGCATCTCAGATCAAGACAATGTGCAATATGGCTGACAAAACCAGTAATTTTACCCATTTTACCTTGTATATCCTCATAACATTGTAACTTCACAGAAACAAAATAAAACTACCCAAAACCGTCTTTGTTAGTCTTTCCACTGTTCCATCAATCACCAGCTCTGCTTTGGTGGAAATAAATCCTTAATTCACCAACGTAGAAGATAAAAACAGCAGTTTCAGTCGTTCTGCGCACACTGAACAAACCACAGAGAGGCTGCAATAGCAACACAGGCAGAGGGAGTGAGACACCATGATTCCACTGTATCTTTACATAGAGAATAGTTGTTTGCGGCCATATTCGACTGAATGCAATGTCTATAACATAAGGAAGTCATTCAAATAGAAATGCTCGCTTGCGACGAGTGGTCGCGGCGGCCTTACATAGCTGTGACGAACTAAGCCTTTAACTTAGGGCTATGTTGTTGTTGGCCTTGTTGGTTCTTCTATGTTGTTAGGACATAATCTTCTCTGCACTATGCAATACAGCTGCTTCAACTTTCGCTTGCTGTCAGGGTAACGACTACGCCTTGCAGTGGTTTTTGGAGTGTATGTTCTGGTTTTTTTGTTCTGTTGTTTTGTTTTCAGCAGGCGGCCGGGTCTTTAACGTCCTCACTTATAAAAATACTTGTGGTCTAACCTTAAAGGTGTTGCCATTAAAATGTACATGAATGCAGTGTTCGTCCTGGAGCAGAGATGATTGACGGTAAATATCAGCAAGGTTTCTGATTGGTGGGAAGGTGAAACTAAGCAAATAAGTCCCAGAGAACTTGTCAGCGCAGCTGAATGCTGTATTTCAGAGTGTGCTTGCAGTGTTGGTTCACTCCACCCAAAGGCCGTCTACACATTTGTGTGATAACAGGTGATCTTGCAGGATCATGTCATGTCACGTTTGTGAGATGAGTCTGATAAATATTTTTTGTCCAGGACTTGTCAGGATTTCGATACAAACTGATGGTCACAGAAGCTCTACGAAACATTACCACAGTTATCTGGGTTTTTCCAAACCTTGGCCTGGGATACAGGGTGGTTTAGGACCTTTGAGTTGGGTAGCGGCTTTCTGTGCCATGGAATGAATAGCGCCAGAAAAACAAGTCACACTCGATTATTCAGAAGAATATGCAAAGTGCCGGTATGATATTTATGGTCTGGGAGCTAACCTATATATTTTTCTAACTGTCCGACGATTTTCTTTCACTTTATTTCCGAATGGAAACGTTTAAAAAAGTCTCTCCCATCTTCTTGTAACCCAGACTAACCCCCCATTCACATACGTTGGACACAGGTAGAAGAGGCAGGATGGCCGAGTCGTCGTGAATTGAATCTGAATACAAAGCGCTGTCAACAGCTGAGAGATTTTCAAAAGGATGCCCAGTGGCATGATGTGGAGCACTTATAGAACGTCTGGGGTAAGCTTAATATTCTCGACAGTGTGGGAGAGTTGCCTGTGTGAGTGCACGATTTGCGATCCCGGGCCACCGAACGCGTTGCGAGAGAGACGCGGGCTCGGACGTGCAGGAGTACAGGGCTGCAGTGCAGATCGATCTTGACCTGCTTTGGTGTTCATGCTGTACAGTGTGTGTACAGTATCAATAACACATATTGTGGACCCAGATATATAGCCTGCCTGCATGAAGGGGTGAAGGTGTTCCTGTATGTTAAGTGAACTACTTGTGGACAAACAGACTGCTCACGTTTTAAAGCTAAGTATGTTAATGATTGTTCTAATGCTAAAACATGTTCGGGTGTGTGTGTGTGTTAGTGAGTGTTATAGTTACGTAACACTATATAGCTATATATGATATAGCTAGATATAGTTATATAGTATATACGTATATATAGTATATAGGATATACGATATTATATGAAAAATCATATATGGTATAGTTTATCGCCCCGGCCTCGCGCCCGCCGTATGATATATTATATCAGTAGTATATATAGCTGTATACGTAATATATATGTGTTACGCGGCGCTCGCATATATTTAGTATAATATATATATAATATAGTATACACATATATGTAGTAGTATACGTATACTTATATATAACATATTAGGGCTATAGTATTAGGTATGTATTATACGTTATAGTTATACTATATATATTGTGTATTATATATATAGTATATGTGTGTCCTTTAGTTATTATATAAACTATATATAATTATGTGTGTATACGTAATATATGATATGTGTGATAGTACTATATTACTAGTAGTATGTGGTGATATGAGTAATATATATATATATGTGCCTTATATATATATATATATATATGGTGTATGTGTACTAATATATGTATAAGTATATATTAATATTACTAATTATATAATATAGGTATGTGGTGTATATATAGGGGTTGCAGCAGGCACCAACCAAGCTGGCTGCGCAGTGTATAAAGCATAATTGCATAGACTATAGCACAGTCGGATCGTGCTTGATTACATGCTTTGATCCAGATACAAAAATAGATCGTCAATAAGATTATTATTTAGACCGACTTAGGATGTCCTCATTGCTCTATAGCTGTAGAGGTAGGCTCGATCCAGGCATTCTCCAATCAAGGATGTGGCTAATTTATGGTGACTCAATTGACTCAGGATATTATGTATAACCATCCTTAAT